TTTGTCATGTCTAGATTATGCTCTTTTGTTTTTCCCCAGACTATTCTTACTTATTTTTCATATAAACTTTAGAAAATTTCCAGTTTTAGCAGAGAAAATAAAAAAATTATTTTGGGGAGGAGAACCATGTTAATTTTGTTAGTTAACTTAGTAATAATTACGTATTGGTTCATTGAAAGTTCTGTTTATATTATTAAGTGCTTTAAACGTAGGAGAAGGAAGAAATTGATAGTTTATATAAAATAGTAACTTGTCAGAATTGTGGCAGTTTTCATACTTTCAATGACAGTACTTTTAACACTTGACTGTCTAGAGAAAAAAAGTTATGCAATGAAGATAGGAAGAAATATTTTATTTATTTATTTTGATTTATTTATTTATTTTTTTTGAGACAGGATCTTACTCTGTAGTCCAAGGTAGCTTTGAATTCACTGTGTAACACAGGCTGGCTTTGGAGGTTTTTTTTTTTTTTTTTTTTTCAGCCTCAGGCTTGTGGGATACGTAAGTGTGTCACCACGCCCAGCTCTACATATTTTTTTTTTTTTTTTTTTTTTTTGGTGTATTTGGTACAGGGTCTCACTGCACATCTTGGACTCATAATGATCCTCCAGTTTAAACCTCCCCAGTGCTGGAATTACTGGCATGGGCCACCATGCCTGGTCTTGGTGGCTGGCTCTGTGCGCCCTGGGATTGAACGCTGGTCCTTGCACTTGCCTAGGCAGACACTTAGACTGCTGAGCTATTTCTTTGGGCCCACACACAGGCTGGCTCTGAACTCTGATCAGTCCTCCTGCCTCAGCCTCCCAAGTCCTGGGATTACAGGGGTGTACTTCCATGCCCAGCTAGGAAGAAATACTTTATTTTTAAAATTTAATTTAATTGTATTTTTTAAAAAAGAGAATAAAAAGGTAGCCAAAAACCCCCCCACATTACATATCTGCTGTAAGCACACAGTGTTTATAGCAGAGCAGTTTGTCATAGCTAAATCTTGGACACAACCCAGGTGTCCATCATCTGAGGAATGGATAAAAAAGATGTGGTCTTTTTACACAATAGAGTATTACTCAGTTATGAAAAAGATAAACTCAAGGCTTTAATAGGTAAATGGATGCAACTAGAGGCCATACTTGTAAGTGAAGTAAATGAGACCTACATGTGCAAGTATTGTATTATCTCAGTAGGTACAATAGATACTATGAAAGGAAAAAAAATCTGTTCAAAGGAAAGGAAAAAACTGGGATGAGGAAAAGAATGAAAGAAAGAAGGAAAAAGGTACACAGGGTAGCTTGGATGATTGTACTCCTGATATCTAATGATTTACTGAAAGAAGCAATTAATACTTATTTCTTTCAACTTTTTCTTACCAGTTTTGCATGCTTATATCTGTTAATCTAAATAACTAATTTGAAGGCAACATTATGCAATACAACAGCTGCTGTCAAGTACATACTTTGTTTAGTGAAATTCTGTATCATTTCTAATTTTTTTAAGGAGAATACAAAATATTAAAAAAACGGGATAAACAGAATGACAGAAATCCAACAATGATTGTTATATTGCATATTGTCTACAAATTAATTGTTCAGATTACAGGAAGAAATACTTTAAAAGATAACCTTAGGTAAAATTAAGGAGCCAATACTAGGGTTTTTTTGTATTTATTCCTGTTAGGTAAAAGTTTTATTTGTGAGAAACTTGGCCACTACAGTGACAGAAGAAATATTGGAAAAGTCGTTTTCTGAATTTGGTAAACTGGAAAGAGTTAAGAAGCAGACTGCAAATGCATTTGTTCATTTTGAAGACAGAGGAGCTGCTGTTAAGGTAAAACATTTTGAATTTTTTTTTCCTACCCAGGCTGTGATTTTAAAACAAATTATAATTTGACAGAAGGATGTTTAAGGGTAGAGGGCGCTCAGAATGCCTTCAGGGCAGGTCTGGTTTGGCTTGAGGATGAGGGGATCGAACCCCAGCATCCTGAGCCTGACTGCTTTGTTTCAGCAGGCACTTAAACACCTGAGCTAATGGGCAGGCCCCCTAGATTATAATTTGAGCAGCATAGGGGTTTTTTGGTATGCTTTTTAGGGGTGGGCGTCAAACAGGACATCAGCTGTGCTCAGTGAGTGCTTTACCACTGAGTAATACTCCCAGTGTTAGTGTACAGTTAATAGGTTTGCTCATTGATACAGTCTCATGAGGAAACACTTTATAATATTCATAGTTTTTACAGGATTTATGTTTGATTTTTGGAATTTTCAGTGGTATAGACCATAGATAACTAATAAATTTATATAATACTCCTTAATACTCCTTTTGACTCAGTTAGTATTAAATGATTGGTTGATGTAATTGAAAATATTTAGAAGAACTGGTAGGACAGTTTGCCAATTGGTAGGATTTCCAGGAACCAAGAGTCACCTTTGTGGTTGGTCAGGGCAGAGATTAGATTATCCTATTGTTTTGCTGGCTTGTGTGTGTAGCTGGGGATTGAGGTAAGGCATGCTAGGCAAATACTTTGCTGCTGAGCTACAGTAAGCCCCCAACTCACAAACATTTGAATTGCAAACTTTCACAGCTATGGACAAACCTCACATTTGGTTTTTCTGTATTTTACATTGTATATTTATGTCAAAAGTGTATAAGGCTTTGTTGACCTTATGAACAGATCCAATTTATTAATGTTCTCCCGGAACAGAGCTTCTTTGTAAGTTGGGGACTTTCTGTATATTCTCTGCCCCTGGGAGGAAGCTTTCAAAGACTTGTTTAGTTGCTTTAAGGTGAAGCACCCCAAAGGTGGGGTGGTAAACAAGGGGGGGAAATTGAAATAAAAAAGAAAACTGATTTTTATCTAATTTTGTCTTGTAAATCACTGAGCATTATTTTATTTTATACACATTTGTGTATAAAATAGGCTACTGTATAAGAGAAAAAGAAATGTGAGGAGGCAACATTTGGTTACTGAGTGGTCATGAAGTGTGCTGTGGGTGTTGGATAGAACAGTGGGAATCAAGGACTAAAACACACAGTGCCTGGTTCCATTTCTTTGTGATTATGTGTGGCTTCCTACATCAGACTTTGGTTTTCTGTGCTTTTAACTGTTCAGGCAACACGTGCACCAACTGAAGTGGAAACCTAGGAGAGAAACCTAGCTTTTTTTGTTGTTGTTGTTATTCAATAATCTTTCAATAATCACTTAATTTTAGGCCCATATTAATACACTTTCCCCTGGTACATATAGAAGCAGTACACAGCTTTTTTACCTTTTAAAATGTATTACAAAGACATTGATGTGGCCCACATAATTTATATAGAGAAAGATAAAGTAGAGAGCAAGCAGTATATTTTTTAGAAAACTTCCTGGCAAGAATAATCTTTTTTTCTGTACTTAGTACAGGGTCTCACGACACAGATCAGACTCGTAGTGATTCTCCTATTTTCAGCCTACCAGGTGCTGGGATTATAAGCACATGCCACCGTGCCCAGTCTTAATCTCCATCTCAGCACGCCCCTTGGCGGGGCCAGCATAGCAGGCC